CCACATTCTCTCCCCCACCAGTGTTTCTTCAAATTCTCACTCAAATAGGCTACTTGCACTTAAATCATGGTCTCAGGGTGTGCTTCTGGGAAAACCCAAACTAGCTGTGGGATTGGCCCAAAGTAGGCACTCAATAAATATTTGCTGAATGAATTCATAAAACAATAAACTTGTTGAATGAGTGAATGAATGACAAAGTCATGTCTCTATCTTTCTCCATAAGGAGACTAAGCTCCTGGTTGGCAGAGACCACCTGGTTCATCTTTGTATTCCTGCTTAATAGTGTGTCTGACTCACACCAACAGTTCCATAAAGGGTGAGTTGAATTAAATGACCTCAAAATAGCCCTTGGTGGAAAGTGAAAGTGGCCACATAACGAACTGTGGGTTTTAGCGAGGTGGAGGTAAAATTTCTTTGGGCATCTGCACCAAGAACTTTTTAAAAGCCAAGGAGCGGTGGTGACAGCATGTACTCGGGAATTAAAAATAACTTTCTTATGAGAAATGCTTTGGATGGAACAGGAAAAAATAAGGGGAAAGCTGGAGAATGGCAGGAGCCAGATCATGTTTGGATGATACAGCTTCCTCAGGACAAGCAAGAAAATCCAAGGTGCAACATGGGTTAGCCTCCGTAGTGGTGTTGTTGATTTCTGACACATTTCAGAGCTGCCAACCACTGATTCACAGTCCTGCTAAAATAGAATGGTCCTAAGAGGTACCGTGAGTGAGGGCCTTTGCTCTGGTGCTGCAGGGTCCCACTGCCTCCCTATTTCTGCTGTTTGCTTTATACATGAAGTTCTTTTTGGGGGAAACTGGGACTGAGCTCAGGGGGGCACTCAACCACTGAGCCACATCCCCAGCCTTATTTTGTATTTTATTTAGAGACARGGTCTCACTGAGTTGCTGAGTGCCTTGCCATTGCTGAGGCTGGCTTTGGACTCTCRATCCTCCTGCCTCAGCCTCCTGGSATTATAGGTGTGCACCACCGCACCCAGCTGTACATGAAGATTTTTTTGTAGCATGTTAGAAACCAGGTTAGTGTTGAAGCTTTCTTTTGTGCTGCCAAGGATGTCGTGTGTGTGTGCACACTCAAGTGATGCGTGTGCACAGGGTGGGAGGGTGGTGACCGGTTTTGCATCAGTTCTATGTAAAGGCCAAGATATTTATAGTCAAATCTGTTCCAATGATCAGTGTTATAAGATGCCTTTCTTTAAATGGTATGATATACATTAAAGTTCTTGGCAAAGCACCTTCAACACAACAGATGCTCAATAAAAATGCTAGGTGAATTCGTATCTGAATTATAGCACCTTTTATTACCCATGCTTCTACTCCCTCTATGGGTATGAATGATTGAGAATAGCTTTTAAATTTTAGGGCACTACTTTCGAAAAATGATTTGCTTATTTCACAGTAATACTATTTCTCTTCGTTACGAAGTGCATTTTTTATTTCGGCTATTACACATACAAATGCATAAGTCTAGTTTTGTAGAATTTAATTTATCTCAATATATAGGTTACAAAAAACAGATTCAGTTCTTTGGGARGGTTACCCTAGTTTTCTATCTTGTTTTTAATATATTAAAATATTTCCAARTGAAAGTAGAGTTTAAAAAGAAATCAGGACCCAACCACGCACGAAAGCTGATTATTCTTTTTAGAAGTAAGTTGGAAAAAATGTTGTTTTGGTTTCAAAAGGTTGACTTAGACTAGGTTGACTGTTGGTCACTGTACTAACTAGTTTGGGGTCTGATTTATTTTTTTAATTTAACATCATCATCATTATTATTGTTCACTACTGTCTTTTTTTTTTTTTAACCTGTTTAGGACTGAGTGGTCATTTCAGTTTAGTTTTTGTTTTGTTTTGTTTTAAGTAATGTGAGAGTGAGCGTAGTAAGTCACAAACCCAGTCTGGAAATCTAGGGGACCTCATGGATCCAAGAAGCAGTGCATCTCCTTTCCTACCTCCCCAAGTTAAAGTGATGCCCAATCATGGAACATCCCTTGTTTCAGGACAAGAACTGCTCTCTGGTCAGGGCTTTCCTTCCATTCACTGCAGCTAAACAGAGCCCTGTCCTCCTCATGTCCTGCATCAGCTTCTCATTCCTTTGTCTTGAAGCCTGTAGATTGCTGTGGGAATGTTAAAGATTCTGGGAAAGGTGACAGGTTAAGTAAGCTTTTTTCTGCATTAAGCTTATYGGGTCCTTTCCTGAATAGGAGATGTTAATGAGAGAGAGCAGAGATTACTTACATGGTCAAAGGTCTCAGAATTCAGACACGTTTACTAAGGGCCAGCTTTAAATCCAGATTGTTCTTGGCCATGGTGTTGAAGCTGCTTCTCCCACTGAAGCCATTATGAGGGGCAGCCTTTTGTCTGACAGAAGTCACACTCTAGAAATGAGATGGAGAAGGCAAGGGGAATGATTAGGGGTCAAGCAATGTTGCCCAGAGYGAGAATGTCAGAACCGTGCCAGTGGATTAAGATAGAGTCATCCCTTAGTATCAATAGGGGATTGTCCCAGGACTCCCCCCACCCCACACCAATATCTGAGGATGTTCAAGTCCTTTATATAAAATAATGTAGTATTTACATATAACCTACACACAGCCTTCTGTATACATGAAATCATCTCCAGATTGCTTATGGTACCCAATACAGTGTAAATGCTATATAAACAGTTGTGGTCCCCCCCCCCCCGCCCTGTCATGCTGCAGTCTATCCCAGGGCCTTGCCCATGCTTGGCAAGTGCGTCACCATTGAGCTCCTTACCAGCCCTATTACTAGTTGTTATACTGTATTGTTTAGGAAATAATGACAAGATATACATTTGTGCATGTTCAGTAGAGGTGCATATTAATTTTTTTTGAGTACTTTCTATCCACAGTTGGTTGGATCCGCACATGTGGAACCATGGATATGGAGGGCCGGCGTGATTAGTTTTGCAGACGCACCCTAAAGCCCTCTGCACAGGGCTGGACAGCAGCACAGAGTCAGACACCAGACCTGTCTAACTGCTTGGTGGAGCCTTTTCGGCTCCACTTTAACCCATTCCATTCTTCATTTATTAAAGGCTTCAGTTGGAATGAGCCAGGCCCAAAGATATACCTTTGGAGAAGAGAGATGAAGTCCTGGTAAGACTTCCTAGGTATATGTGAATCTGCTTGTTGAGGCTGAGCTGTCTCTGTGCACTTGTGGTTGGTACTTCCAGAAATGGATTAAATTATTTTCTTCCCACTTAGAAGTTTGTTTGTCTGTGGCTTCACGTTGGGATTTGAAAGCCAGATGTTTTTTGTTGCTTCCCGCTTTTATAGGTCACTTTTCTGTTGCAAAGCCATTTTTCTCATTAGGTGGTAAAAAATCTCCATAAATTGTCCTACCTTGCTGAGTGGAGTGCCTTGCATATGTATAGCATTTTATGGTTTTCAAAGCACTTTTGCCTATAYGATCTCACTGTGTAATGCTGTCCTGGGTGTTCTGTATATACTCGCCATTTCCATCAACTCAGRTACTTCTCTTTCTTCTACCATTTTTGAGGATAACACACAGGGTCATTCCCTCCTTCCTTTCATATTATTTTCCCCCAGGGCTATAAGTGGCAAAGGAATATTTCAAAGTACAATAAAAGCATCCCATATGAGTGATACTGCTTTTTGATGGCAAAGTGAAGATAACCTGGAGGCTTTTTATCCCTGTGAATTATGTTCTACTTTCTTAGGTTCACACTATCAGCAGGAATACTGAAAACAATTTAGCTTAGTAATTGCACCTGTGCACCCTGCCTTTTCAAATTGGTGAAACATCTCCTACAAGTGTGTTAGATCCACCTAGTTGTTCTGTGGGTTTATTTTTTTTTTGTTTTTGTTTTTGTGCTTAGTGCTCCCCGCCCCCTTCATTCTCAACTTAGAGCTTTGGTATTGTTAGTATTCATCCCTGATGGAGAAATTGTGTCTACCATGCACTAGGCATGGGTCTAGAGGCTGGATTCAGCAAAGAATACCCAGACAAAATACTGCTTTTATGGCTAGCTCTATGTCTTGGAGTCTTTGAAGATAAGCCATAATTTTTTTTGCATAGAACTCCTTCAATAACTTGAAGACTACTCAGTTTCTTTTGAGTCTTCACGTCAAGCCAATACTCCCAATTAACCCAGTGTAATACAGCTTCGGGTCTTTTCACTGTATGTATTATCATATATTTCAATTAATATTATTTAATACTGAATATTGAGTTTGATATCTGTTAAATACTGAATTGAATTGATTTTTAGTAGACTGATTTTTWAAAATTTTTTTTGTTATAAAGGTAATATGCACTTGGAGAATTCTGGAAAATACAAATAAATATAAAACATAAAAAAGAAGTTATCTGTAGTTCCATTATCCACTGTTAAAATGTTGGTATATTTCCTCCTAGCCTTTTTCAATTTGTATCTGTTTATATAGTTGAGATTGGAATGCAATATTTATAATTTTGTATCCTGTTTTCCACTAAACATTGATACTTACACATTTGACAAATAACAGTATATTCATAAAAATCACTTAAATAGTTGCAGAATGTTCCAGCCAGATAGACTTATTAAGATGAAGTCATAAAGGAGTATGTGGATTCCTGAATGGGGCTGCACTTTTTGCCTTTTCCTCAAGTCCTCCGCCTCCTAAACCACTGTGCTTTAAGTACTTACTACTAGTCCTGTATGGAAGGAAAATGCTGGAATACATATCTCCTGCTGATTCCTCTAATTTGGTTTATTACTGATATGCTGCTCTTTTCCCTTTCTGTTCATTGCTTGGTGTTTCCTCATTATCATTTGCTGCTCATCCTTTTGGAGAATAGGGTTACCTATAGATCTTCTTGTAACACACACCAGAATATCCCAGTGGCCATTTTTGAGGCTCTGTTCCCGCCAGGTTCAACCTTGAGGAGTCTGTTGGAAGCGGTTCTTTGGGTGAACTGAATCATGGCAGCACAGGGCTCACTCTGATCYTTGGATTGCAGGCCTCCAGCTGAACCAGAAGGCCCTTACCACCTTTCCAGATGTGGTGGTGGTGCGGGTGTCCACACCCTCTGTGCAGTCAGACAGCGACATCACTGTCCTGCGGCACCTGGAGAAGCTGGGCTGCCGCTTGGTCAACCGCCCACAGAGCATCTTAAACTGCATCAACAAATTCTGGACGTTCCAAGAGCTGGCTGGACATGGGGTCCCCATGCCAGACACTTTCTCCTACGGTGAGTCTCCTTAAAATACAGTAGGAACTTATCTTTCCAAACCTTCTGCCTCTCTGTGTTTTCTCTCATCAGAAACCTTCCAGTATGACTTGCTTTTCAATGTGAGTCTGTTCATTTTAGGTGATTCAATATCTTGAGTCTTTATCCTGGCCATTCCCTCTGTCTGAAATGTCTTTGCTTTTTTCTGTCTGTAAGTCAGTCTCCAAATATGTGTCTGTTGACACTACATGCCAGCCACAGTACCAGGCACAGGGTCATAGCAGTAAGAGTCCTTCCTGAGGTATTCCCAGTCCATCAGAGGCGGAAGACAACAGGTAAAAGGGCAAGTTCAGTCCAGACCATTCAGTGTCTTGGTGAGACTTAGTGATCCCGGGTAATCCCAATGCAGTTTAGAAGACTTTAGAGAATGCTTCCTAAAGGAGATAACATCCACCTAAGTTGAAGTTGTCCTGCTAAAAGAAGGGGTATGGGAGCAGGGGGGGGGGTGTAATCTAAGCAGAGAGAACATCGGAAGACTTGGTGGTAAGAGAGAACCTGACCTATTGGTGGTATTGAGAATAGTGTGAAGAATGTAAAGAGAGAGAAAATTGAACTCTAGGATTGGGAAGATCAAACGGTGCCATAACAGCACATAAATGAGATAGGATTAATCCAAGACTAACAGGAAGTTATCAGAGGATTTTCATCAGGGAGGTGGCCTGGTCAGAGTGACAGGGAAGATGATCACTTTGCTTACACTGTGGAGAAAGAATTGGATGGGGCCAAGTAGAGATAGATAAGAAGTTAATCACAGGAATGATATCCCATCATATTTACTGGTCCCCACCATGTTCAAGAGGGAATTCTACAAGGAGTGTTCACTGGGGGTGGGAATCTTAAGGGCCATCCTAGAATTCTGCCCCCCACAGCCAGGATTATATGAACTGGAGCTACGGGCACCCTCCACCACACAGGTGCTTGGTAAATCTTGATTTCCATACCTCTCTGCTCCCACCTTTTACATTACAGGCACATAATGTATGTCTGTTGGATCCAATGGGTTTGAATTGTCTTAATCAGGGAGATATGAAGCCTCCTGCAGAAGGGGCTGGGCTGACCACTCCCTGACAATCAGCTTTATCTTCGCTGACTCTCACTCTTTCTTGGCAGGTGGACATGAAGACTTTTCAAAAATGATCGATGAMGCTGAGCCCCTGGGCTACCCAGTCGTGGTGAAGAGCACGCGAGGCCACCAGGGTCAGTGCTTCCCTTCCTGGGCTTCCTGGGTGATCAGTCTGCAAGGGCAGCAGCTCCACCTGCACAAGTGGAAGTGCTGCTTGAGGAGCTTGCAGGGTGATTCTTCTGGTCCCCTCCACTTGGTCCTCTCTGTCCTTGCTTTTGTCAGACCTTTATCCTCTTTTCTTGGGCTATTGCAATAGACATCTGTCTTTATTGATGGGTTTCTGAGCTCCTCTGCTAGTGCAACCTCTGTTCATCTTATTTTATTCATTTATTTTTTGGGGGGAGGAGTGATTTCTCTGAAACAGATCTATTCTTGTCACTCTTTTGCTGAACAGCCCCCACTGCAGCCCCTGTGTTGCTGTTAGACTAAGTCCATATTCCTTATCATGGCACTAGGGCCCCGGGCAGACAGCTCAACCTTCCTTTGCAGCCTTCTCTGGTCATGTGGACCCCTCATAGTCCACTCCCCACTGCCTCTCATTTACCAGCTAGACCATGCTTTTTCCTCTCCATAATCCTTTGCCCTCTTCACTTTTCTGGGAGCACCATCTTCCTCTGCCCACCTGGTCAACTTTGGCTCATCCTATAAGGCCAGCTCCTAATACCATTTCTTTTCTATCCTCATCCTTGGTCTCCCTTACTGTCTTCCAGACAAAATTAATTGCTCTAGCCTTTTTGTTTCCGTTTCACTTTGTACATGTTTCTGTCATAGTGCTACTCCTGATGACTGTTTTAGGTGTAAGTGCCTGTTTCCTTCTTTAGACTGTGAGCAGCTCAAGGGTAGGGACTAGATTCTGAACCTCTGTCTCTGTGAGGCCCAATGCAGGGCTCAGTGCATACCAGGGACTCAGCAGAAGAGAGCGTCCTCCTGTAATATGTGAGTAGGTAACTCTCCAAGAGGCCCAGATGGCATAGCATGCTTAGGCTCAGGGCATCTGGAGAAGGGGAAATAGCCCCAAACAGGTATGTGATGATAGTGTCTGTGATGTAGGATCTGTGACATAGAAATGAACCAGACATAATCACTGCTCTCAAGGAGACCCAGTGAGTAGACCACAGAGGGGTTCCATTGCAGGGTGATGACCACTCTAGCAGACAGGCCTGAAGGAGGGAGGAGTCCACTCTGCCATGAAAGGAGACTTAAGTTACCATGTAGAATTTGAACTGGAAGAGATGAGTGAACACACAGAAACTAGTGTGAACAAAACCACTAGTGGGAGAAGAAAAGACTATTGAGCAAGAGAAGTTAGCAAAGGGGAGCTTTGATACTATTCATATAAGCTGCTGTGCTAAAATYTAACCAATCTCATCACTATTTTTAAAAATTGTGAAATGTACATAAAATGCAACTAAATTTATCAAGTGCCTATAGAATTCCATGTACTATTCTAGATTCTAAGGATATAGATAAGAACAACACATGGGCTTGGGATATAGCTCAGTTGGTTGAGTGCTTGCCTTGCCTTGCACAAGGCCCTGGGTTCAATCCCCAGCACCACACACACACACACACACACACACACACACACACACACACACCAAAAAAAAAAAAAAAAACCACAAAAATTCTTGTCCTCAAGAAGCTTACATTATAGAAAAGTGTGATAGTCAATAAACAGAAATTAAACATAACATGTAATATTTTTTAAAGTTTTAAAAATTGAGATATAATTTATAGGTATTCCTAAATACTTACTACTGTTAAGTTATAAAATTCAGTGGATTTTAGTATATTCACTATGTCTTATGATAATAACCAYTATCTAATTTCAGAACATTTCTATCTCCCCCCCACCAAAGAAACCTTGTACCTATTATATCAAAATGGACTCTACTGTCATGTATAACTAAAAAGAACCAATAAAAATAAAAATTTTTTAAAAAAGTTAGTCCTAATTGCCCTTTCCCCATTCCCTGGAAACCACTATTCTATTTTCTGACTCCATGGATTTGCCTGTTTTGGACATTTTTAAATAAATGGATTCATATAATAGATGGACTTTGGTGTCTGGCTTCTTAGCATGTTTTCAGAGTTTATCCATGTTGTAGCATGTAACACTGCTCTACCCCTTTTGAGGAGTCAGTGATACTCCATTGTATAGATATACCACATTTTGTTTACCTGTTCATTGGTTGGTGGACATTTGGGTTGTTTATTTCCACTTTGTGACTATTAAGAATAATGCTACTATATGAACATTTGTGTACAGGTTTTCATGTGACCAGACATTTTCATTTCTCTTGAGTATCTGGAAATGGAATTGCCAAGTGCTGTGGTAATCTCTGCTTCACTTTTATAAGACTGCCGAGTTGCTTTCTACAGTGGTTATGCCATTTTACATTCCCACCAGCAACATCATATGAGAGTTTCCTTTGCACACGTCCTTGCCAATGCTTGTTATTTTCTATGTATGTATGTATGTATGTATGCATGTTTATTAGAACCATCCTAGTGGGCATGTAGTGGTTATTTCCTTATGGTTTTGATTTGTATTTCCCTAATGACTGATGATGTCAAGCATCTTTTCATGTGCTTAGGGGCTATATTTAAATTTTCTTTGGAGGAAAATTTACTCAAATCCTCTGCCCATTTTTAAACTATTTCCTTTATTTTTGAGTTTTATAGGTTCTTTAATGTGGATACTTGACTCTTCTTAAATATATAATTTGAACTTTTTGTTTTTAACCATTTTGTATGTTGCCTTTTCATTTCTTTCTTTTT